ATACAGAGTTATGTAGAGAAATAGCATACTGAACATACAGAGTTATGTAGAGAAATAGCACACTGAATATACAGGGTTATGTAGAAAAAATAGCACACTGAACATACAGAGTTATGTAGAGAAATAGCACACTGAACATACAGAGTTATGTAGAGAAATAGCACCCTGACTATGCAGTACAAGCTTTCTTCAAACCTCTTCAATTATTACGAATACAAATGAAATTCTAAACTGTTTTTAATGACAAATTTTGATTAAATTTATGGATCAACATTAAATAGTTGAATACGATTATATAATAAAGAAATACAAACACACACATCTCTTTTTACATTAATTGAGCCAGGTGTGTCTTAGTGTTAGCGTATCGGACTGCAGATTGAAATGTCCAAGGCTCGAGTCCGTAATATGCTACTGAGAACGCTCCGCACTTTTAGATGTGTGAGCGTTATAGCCACCTATATAGGTGGTGGACTGCTAATCTGTTGGTCCTGTGGTCAGAAATTTTAAATTAGGGACAGCTTAGCCTAACACATAGTGTCTCTGACCTGCCCGTTTATCCTACGTTCGAGTTGAAAATATCTCTCTATCTACGTTATACGTACATTTAAATATCCATTTGTGTAATCTTAATTTACCAGCTTGTTTTATACAGAAGAATGAATATTATATTTTTTTGTGAACGAACTGTTATATTTTCGTATATTCTTTCATTAATAATTTTATATGAGAAAAAAAAGTTTTTATTAAAAAAAAATATTTTAGTGAAGAGGATAACACGATATTTTTAATTTACGAAAACCGAGATCGATCCCAATAAATGAGGATATTGTGAGGATTTTAGGTTAAAAGGGCCAAGTTAAATATTTCTCGTGAGGATCGAGTTCAACGCAATATATGAAAAGTTTCAAAAGCTTCTTATTCGGTTTTACGAAAGTTGAAAAGAGACCCAAACTCGAACCTCCGATTATTTTTTCACTTCGTTATTGTCTGATAAAACCGCAGGGGGTGAAATAACAAGGCGGTTTAGCTGAAGCGGAATTTAATTATAAGACTTTAAAATCATAACGTTTCACTGGTGTTAATTCAACCATCGAGAGTTTAATGGGTGGTATCACTTGGAAATTAATTAGGCATTACTTACGACCAATTATACTTGATGTATTTTATAGATAAATTAAATTATTTCACATAAGTCGGAATGATGCACTTTTCTGTAGTATTCCGGTGGACGTTGAGAGGTTTACTGATATGTGATTTGGATTTCCAAACTTCTTATTAATCGGAACTCACGATTAAACTTTTCTTCAGATTTGATGAAGTAGTTGTCTCAAACACATTTATCGTGCCGAAACTTACATGTGGTACATGTTTGTACCGTCATTAGCGTGTTCCTTTACATAGTACATGTTTATACCGTCATTACCCAGCGTGTTCCTTTACATAGTACATGTTTGTACCGTCATTATCCAGCATGTTCCTTTACATAGTACATGTATGTACCGTCATTATCCAGCGTGTTCCTTTACATGTATGTACATTGTACTGTTTGGTTGTTTTTAGAGCAAAGCTATACAATGGACTACTTGCGTGCTCCGTTCACCGCGGGGAATCGAAGCTCGAATTTTAGCGTTCTAAGTCTGTAAACTTACCGCTGACCCACCGGGGGAAGTTTTTTTTTAATTATTGAAATATCGTCACGCTATTTTAGATCGGGTTTTACTCATCTCGTTTTCTTTAAACTATATTTATCGTGTTCTAAGCTATGACAGTATTGTAAAGATAAATATTTTTCTGAACGCTCGACTGCATGTCAAACTTCAATTTGTTCAACGTCCAATCATCAAATGGGAAATTAAACCTTTAAATACTCACCCAAAATTTTTAAAAGTTTATCCGTTGGTAAGCACAAAGCTGCACAATGGGCTATTTGCACTATGCCCATCGCCTGGATAGAACTCAGAATTTTAGCTTTATTGGTCCTCAAGATTACGCACCATTGCGGCATGTCTGCGGACTTATACCACTAGAAACCGGGTTTCGATACCCGTGGTGGGCAGAGCACAGATAGCCCTTTCTGTAGCTTTGTACTTAATATTAAACAACCCTCAAGATTACCGCTGAACCACCCCGGAAAATTTAAAAGAAGTTATTTGAAGACACACACGTATATTTGTTTTTATTAACCCTAGATTTAACAATCGGCTTTCCAAACATTTTTCTAAACTATTTATGAATCAACTGCAACTGACCTCACTAACTACTGCTGAGGTGCATAGAAAATGAGTGATTTACTCGGTTATTTTGGTCATTTCTTTATCCTGAGCGTTGTAACAAGCAAAAACATAAAACACTAGCCAGGATAATCATTCGTTATGATGCAATATGTGGACCCTATCTGTAGGGAACAGTATAAAAACAAATCGGCAACTTGAGGTTAGCTGAATATTTAAATAATATATTTAATTCTGAAATCATCCTTTGATCTGTATATTTAATTCTTCATCATATATTATGAGACAAATTATGTTCAAGTATTGATTTGTTTTATTACCAATTAGCATTTTTTTCCGAAAGAAGGAAATTTGAACTGTGATATTAATACTATTCCTTGAGGGTCAGCGGTAAGTCTGAAGACTTGCAATACTCCGGTGTTCGATTCCTGCGACGGACAGAGTGCAGATATGTGCTAAAAACAAAATTTTAATATTTATTGCAAAGAAACAACGACAAAAAGCATGCAGGTTCGTGAATCGCTCCGGCAACTTTTGGAAATTGTATTTCCTTCCCTATAAAAACGGTTCTCACACTTTTCCAACATACACAAAAAAAATCTTTCTTTCACAAAAATAGTCGCTTATTTCATCAAGTAATCACTCTTTAATGGTCTAGAAAATACTCAAAACAAATAATCATAACGTAGAAATACGTCATCCATCATAAGATTGTGAGTGACTCAAGCGTGCGGTACACCAACTGTAATCTACCTTGCTACAAGATATCAGTTCAGCCCTTTAATCTTGTAGAGTTTCTTGTTCACATCATGCTTTATTAAAGTTAGTTGCTAGTGCTAAGCAACATTTTACTGATGTTGTAACGTTCGTTACAAGAATTATTATAATGAGATGATTGATTCGAGTAACACAACAGCTACAATGGTTGCTCATTGAAAAAGTAAAAGAAGCAATAAATCACGACATAGTGTTATCTATATTATATGAGACGATATAAAAATGATGATAGCCTGACACTGTTACCTATATTCTATAATAAGATATAAGAATACTAATAATTTGACAATTTTACTTATGTTCTGTAAAACGATATAAAAATGCTGATACCCTGACAGTGTTACCTATATCCTATACGACGAAATAAAAATGCTGATACCCCGATAGTGTTACCTATATTATATAAGACGATATGAAAGTACTGATAACTTGACAGTGTTACCTATATTTTATAAGAAGATATAAAAGTACTGCAATAGCCTGACAATGTTACCTATATCCTATACGACGATATAAAAATGCTGATACCCCGATAGTGTTACCTATATTATATAAGACGATATGAAAGTACTGATAACTTGACAGTGTTACCTATATTTTATAAGAAGATATAAAAGTACTGCAATAGCCTGACAATGTTACCTATATCCTATACGACGATATAAAAATGCTGATACCCCGATAGTGTTACCTATATTATATAAGACGATATGAAAGTACTGATACCCCGATAGTGTTACCTAAATTCTATAAGACTATATAAAAATACTGATAGTCTGACAGTGTTACCTATATTCTATAAGACGATATAAAAAGGCTGATAGACTAACAGTGTTACCTATGTTCTGTAAGACGATATAAAAATGCTGATAGCCTGACAGTGTTACCTATGTTTTATAATCTACAAAATCAACCTGGTAATAAGTATAGGTAATTAAATGTATTTTTATTACGTTCATACGTATTTAGAATACGTTGTTTCACAAGTTGAGTACTCGCTGTAAACAACATTTTCGGTCGTAACTCCAAGAATGTGTCACGCGATTCGCCCAGCTTGGGAAATTGAGATTAGTCCTAAATACATGTAAAATAATCAAAAGTAAAATTAAATATATTAAACAGTCTAATCAATACTGTTAATGCAAGTAACAATAAGTAAATAATATAGTATATCTTACTTAAGAAACACACGAACATTTGCTGTTGGTTTCACTACTGTCGTAAAAATAATTTTCTTTGAAAAACATAATATCAGTCTAACTGCCTGCAGTTTCCCCTTCTATCTCTAACCACGTCTTGTGACCAGTAAAAAGCTATTAAACAACACTGGTTTTGTGGTTTAGAGGAACATGGCATCTAAGATAAATTACTATGACAAGTGTTACTGTTTGGACTGTGTCGAGTTAAGCAATAGGAATTTACCAAGAGTACAGCTAGAAACTAATGATTATTGACATACAAATGATAAACTAAAATAATATCTTAATCGTACAATAAATAGCTAGATTATTTGTTCTGTAATGAAAACCTAAGAATATTAAACATAATACAAAGAAAACAACATGTCAAGAATACTGTGAAGTATGTCTAATGCAAGTGGTCCCACATTAACCATATTTTATTACCTATCAAAACACATGGAAAAGGAAACAAAGTAATAAAGTTAAATGTTCTATAAAAGTCGAAACGAAACACATTAAGCCACTGACGCTGAGAAGATCCTGAACCCAAATACTACATTTATTTTGAGACGGGGTCACTAAAATACTAATGTTTGATTTCATTGTATAGCTAAACTTCTCGATTTTTCCAGCTAGATGTAAATATATATATTGAAAAAGAATGTGTGGCTCAAACCAAACAAACAATAGTTTAAAACGCAATCAAATTCTCGTTTCCCCCCTTTACGCGAGAATAGACGTGTCCATGAGTGGTTTTATGCGCCTACTGGAAAGTCCGATCGACTGGTGCGCCGCGTAGTTACCGCCTACTGAAGGAAATTGTACGATTCTGTTAGAGATAAAAGGGGGACTCAACATCTAATGGAGAAGCGCTCTTCGTTTGAGGTTACGTACAGCGCTGTTTAGTGGGAATGCTAGAGAAATTAAACAGTTTCTGAAATCACAGAAAGTAGAATTACAATCCATTCCATAAGAACTGTTGATAAAAGTTGATACACCTAGAAAAACTGTAACCACCAAATCTGATATCGACCTGAACTAGCTGTAGAGACACCCGAACAACATGGCATCCATATCAACGATAAAACCCTACATGTTCCTCTTCGCATTAATCCAAGCTGTTGTTGGCCTGGGAGCCGAGAAAACCGCTGTGATGTTTGAAGCCGCCTTTCAAGGTATGTATTCTTATCATCATTCGTGGATAAAGGTTATACTGAAGAAAAGCTTGCTAATTTCCACAACGGTAGTTAATTACTGTAAGTTTGTGATAAGTTAATGAGAAACCAAATGATAATACCATTAACAGATTATTTCAATTTAGTTTTAGTTAATCGAATAAATAAGGATTTGACTCGTAACGGGGTATTGTGTTAAAATTATTAAGAACTTGAGTTATTTCAGCTGTCCTAAAACATGTTTGCGAAAAGCGCTTAAATGTAAACAAATAGGGAGAAACTTTCTAGGCAAAAATATCTCGGGTTTCGAAATGTTTCTAGAACTTTCGAGGGGCGTGATGTCGAAGGTTCCACATATAGTTATAGATCTGAAAGTTCGTAGAATTAAAATATTCACGTGCAAGGACGTTATGAAACATTTTTCTTATAAATTCATATTAATTATTAAGTTTTCAACGTTATATTGAGGTTTGAACACTGAGAAATGATGAGTTACTATTTAATATTAACAATTTGTACATATTCATCATTTCTAAATTCGTACATTTTCCCAACTGTGAATTTAAAACACTTTTTGCTTAATTGTGAATATTCTTCCTTAATTTTGTGACAAATGAAAGCTGAACACGCGGCGGGTCTCAACTTGCAGACTCAATGTGCCAATTATATTCCTGTAGTTGCTTATAAAGAGTTCCCCATTTTTTTTCTTGTTGCCTTCTCATTACATCATTTCGGGGTTTGTCCTTTTATATAATTTGGCTCTTTTTTCATATCACGTCTTTAAATAGTTGATCTTTTTATTCTGACTTTTATACACATGTAAAATGTTTTGATTAGACGTTATATTTTTTTTTGGTTTTCACAAACAACAGCACTAATATTAATTTACAGGTGTTTGTAAAGTTTTCACTCCAGGAAACGGTAATATACATATATGTATATATATATATTCTGCACCCGGAAACAACTCTTAGATTTGTCGAATTATTAGTTTTTAGGCAAATTTCAACAAATTTTTCTGCGATTAATCATCGTAAATACTTTATCGTTCAGCAAGGTCAGATTTTTTCGATTCATATGTTGTTTATTTCGTAAAAGTATTTTCTTTAAAAAACGATCTTTTGTTTTTATCTTGATTAAAACACGAACCTTTAAGTTTAAGCTTTCTTACATTGTGGCTGGAAAAAAAGTGCAAAAATACAAAACTATAAAAACGGGCCCGGCATGGCCAGGTGGTTAGGGCGCTCGACTCGCAATCTGTGGGTCGTGGGTTCGAATCCCTGTCACACCAAACATGCTCGCCTCTTCAGCCGTGGGGGCGTTATCATGTAACGGTCAATCCCACTATTCGTTGGTAAAAGAGTAGCCTAAGAGTTGGCTTGAGGTGGTGATGACTGCCTTCTATCTAGTCTTACTCTGCTAAATTAGGGACGGCTAGCGCAGATAGTCCTCGTGTAGCTTTGTGCGAAATCCAAAACAAACAAACAAAGAAAGTATAAAAACGACATTATTTTTGTTACCATACTCTGAATCCAAAGTTGTCAATGTATAAAGCATTTTAATATGGTGTCTTAAAATTATATTATAATCGGGAGTTATCGGTTAAAACAAAAATTAGAAGCTCTATTTATATGGCTGTTTCATGTACCGTCTTTTAGAGCAAGTACAGGGCGGCAAAAAGTCCCCCCCCCCCCAAGTCAAATAAAGATAGTGTACATGAAAATAAAAATTTATTGCATATTGACATATTTCATATTGACACATAATAACATGAGGTTCGGTTAATAATCCAAAATGTCTGTCTGTTGGCCTTCATTTTCAAGACGTAGGATGATACATCACCATGTGTCATCGATGTCACATCCTCCTCAACACATTAGGGATAACCTCAGCGAAACATTCGAATTTTTTGTTTCAAAATGCTGTTGTTTCATATCGTTATTTTGCCACAATCATTACTAAAACGCTAAAAACTAAGTTATTAACATGAGCTTTAAGTAGCCGATTGCCCAGACTTTTTGCTCACCCTTTACATCAGATAACCAATTTTCATATTTTCACACAACCTTATTTTAATCACCAAATGAAGTAGCCACATAGATTTGGATTTTAAGTTTCGCCCAGAAAATTTATCTAATTTTGAATTACGAGACCGCAAATCGATTGCTTGTGGCGTACGTGTATTAAAGCTTGTTGTGTTTTCTACAACAGCTTCCATGAGTTTGTTTCTGTCCGAGTGAAAAACAAGTAGTTGTATTTTCATCGTGCGTGAAACACAACCCGGGAGTTTATATTGTTTGTCAGGAAATCCAGTGTGTGAATATATTACAGTTAAAAAGGAGCTATTACTTTACTGGCGTCAAAAGCACCACGAAACTGGTTCAGTGTAGCCCCTAAGCGGAAACAGCTCATATTGAAATATTTTTTTTTAGTAAAAACATAAAAAACATCTTTAAGTTTATAAAGTTCTAGTAGACTGGGCTACGTAATACACATTTTGTTGAAACAGAATTTGCCCCCATTAATGTACGGGGTGGTATATATTTATGGAGTTTTTAAGTCCTTTTTAAAAGGCCTAACTGTTTGGTTTGCTGACCAAAGCTGTGGCGGGTTCGAATCCCCGTCTCACCAAACATGCTCGCCCTTTCAGGCATGGGGGCGTTATAATGTGACGGTCAACCCTACTATTTTTGGTTAAAGAGTAGTCAAAGAGTTGACGGTGGGTGGTGATGACTAGCTGCCTTTCCTCTAGTCTTTCACTGCTAAATTAGGGACGGCTAGCGCAGATAGCCCTCGTGTAGCTTTCGCGAAATTCAGAACAAACAAACCCAAGCTGTGCTGATGAGCCTTGAATAGGCAAAGCTGCAGTCCACAGTAGAGGGTACGGCATTAGGCCTCTACGTCACAGACTAAATTTTCAATTTTACATTTGGTGAAAAGAAATCCCTAATATAACGTAGTGGTGGTCTAGATAGCGATAGTTTAATTTTAAGACTCAACGATAACTTAAACCTCTCAACTATACAAAGATAACTCTAGTGTATTTCTACCTGTATACTTAATTATAGCGCTACAATCCTTTTTAGTTCAACAATTGCCGCTTGTACATCGCATGCAGTTATCATTTCTCTTCCTGTTATTGTATACTGTTAATGTCTGCTATTCCAGCATCACGTGTTTGGTCATTAGGGATAAATTGATTTTAAACAAAGTACGTTATTATTATTATGATTTCTACTTTGTAGATACCCGAGTTTAGAGAGCAAAAACGGTCCAATTTTTTTTATGGAAAACATCGCCTTGAATCGAGTGAATCGTATATAATTTTAAGAATTTTCCTATTGTAATGTTACGTCTCTGGTCATTTGTTAATTTCCCGTATAATTTCTTTCGGATGAAACTTTAGCATTACAAGTCCTTTCTTAAAGAAAACTAGTTTATTCTTTCTCAATACAACTTTGCAACACACTTAATTTCCACAGTCACATTAACTTAACACACGCTATAATTCACAACGATTCACGCACTTTACTTACTGTCACTACCGCGCATGACCCAATTGTCCGTCTCTGTCTCTGCCTGTCTGCAATTATCTATGCCGTCATTTTATTTGCCGGCTTATATACTAAAATAGAGGACGCGTAGAAAAGACTAGAGTTGTTGGGAACAGTCATGATCCTTCTAGAAACCCATGACGTGTTACCAGCGTCACGTGACTACCGCTGTCGTAACAGTAAGTTCCAAATTATTTCTTGAGATCTTTAAGAACGAATTTCTGTGAATTCGAAGAGAGGTTTGTTTTGTATGTGAGTAAAAACACTTTCGTGCTTATGTTTTTAACAGCTTTCCTCGATTGCATCTATATGAACGTGTACTTGGGCAAAGTTTGAACTGAGAAGTCATAAATTTTGGGGTTTTCCGGCGCTTGAGGCAATACTACACAATGCATTCATTGTTAACAAATTAAAACGGTGTTTAATCTTTTAGTACTAATATTCAGTTGACAAGAAGTAATCACATAACCATTGGTGGGATGAAGAGAAATAATTTACTGAGCACCCCTGGTTATCTTCAATTTGAGAAATATAAAATTCAAACCTCTACACTTACCATGAAAGATGACGATATCTAGGTAGGCTAAGTACATATTCCTACTGGGAGAGTTGGACTTTAGGTCGTAACAACTAAGGGCGTATCTTACTGATATCTTATAGCACCCGGTTTCTCTATCTCTCCATTCATCATGATGACGTAGAAGTAGACAAGTTCAAGAGATAACTGGATTGACCTTCGATAGACAAAAAAATGACTCATGCCTGAAAAGTCTAACGAAGACTTGTACAATTACTAACAAACTTTCGTTATTCGTGTTACATATTTTTTTAAGAAAACAAAAACTGTCGATTGGGAATGTTTGAAGATATGTGAGAGAGAAAAAAACTTTTATTTTTTACAGGAAAACACAAGACTTTAGTTTTTACCTTTTCTGGTTTGTTTTGTCTTGAATTTCACGCAAAGCTACTCGAGCACTATTTGCGTAAGCCATCCCTAATTTAGCAGTGATAGACTAGAGGGAAGGCAGCTAGTCAACACCACACACCACCAACTCTTGGACTACTCTTTCACCAATGAATAGTAGGATTGACCGTCACGAAATAATGCTCCCACGGCTGAAAGGGCGAGCATGTTTGGTGGGATGGAGATTCGAATAGTGGGATTGACCGTCAGACCATAACGCCTCCAGGGCTAAAAGAGCAAGCATGTTTGGAGACGGGATTCGAACCCGCAATCCGCACATTGCGAGTCGAGAGCCCTTAACTACCAGTCCATGCCAGATCTTTACCATTTCTGTTATACACTTTTATCAAGAGATTCTATACGCTACCACACAGCTCTGGAGCCCGTTCCTTGAATCGTGCGTAAGGAGAGTACAGAGAGATTAAACAGGTATTTTAGTCATCCAGTAATGTTTAGGGTTTACTGACAAGGTTTTATATTGA